ATCCTGTGTAGTTGTTGATTGTCCAAAGGAAACCGGATAAACTGTTGGATGATATGTGGTCTAGAGAGCGCGTTGATGGTTTGGTTTATGGCACAGCTGACTGATGGTTGCGATATTCCTAAATCGTCGGCATTGCAAAGTTGCATTTTCCCTGTTGCTAAATATCGTAGTGTTGCCAAACATTTTATTTCCGGACTAATCGGGTTATTCCTGTTAGTCGGGGATGTTATTGCATCCCGCACTAATTCCACAACAAGTTTGATACCCTCACGATTTAGCCTATATCTCTTGATCAATTCACAGTCTTCCATTGTCTCCAAAACATTTCGTCTCTCAGCCATTTTCAGATTCTTTGTGAATAGGTCTTACTGAGTTAGGAGTCCTCTCGAGGACTTTTAAGCTCTCCCAGACTTAGGTGCTACTTTTAGGCTTAAAATACTTTGTGAATTGCTCTTAGTGAATAAAATTAGGAGTCCTAAATTTAAGACTGACACGCCCATTATGCTTAGGAGTTTCTCCTAAATTCGCCAGTTAGGAGCTACTTTTAGCCCTAAAATCCTTTGTGAATACGGCCCCTGAACATCAGCAGGAGAGGACTCTTTAAAGTAGACACTAAATACTAATGTACTACACTTGATGGCCCCTTTTAATAAATTAAATGTGTGTTTCAGTGTTTCCTGACTTCCTGTTTCCTGTTTTCTCTGCAGATATTACAGCACTCTTCTACAGACGCTTCAGTCATGTGACGAGCAGACGGTTTCGGCGGTGAGGGCGGGGCTTATTTCTCGTTTGGGTCCCGACATGGAGACTTTCCTGCAGCTTCTTCAGAACCAACCGTGTTCTGCAGATTCTGCCGGAGCCTCGGCTTTCAACAACCCGTCCAGCTGGAGGAACACACCTGTGTTCAACATCCAGCCGGGATTCAGAGGTCGCGACCCCACTCACTTGTTCGCTAGGAAGAGGTCTGTGGACGACATGGAGGGGGGCGTCAACACAGAGCAGTAGATAACACACACATTATCACACACACACGCTTTTATGCACATTAGGGCTGGGTGATATCGTAGAAAAAGCAAGATTTTTGGACTAAATACCTCGAAATTGTGACAAAATTCAATATATTGTGAAAGCTGTAATGACATTTTTGGTAAATAAGCAAAACAGAGTACATGAACTCAAGTACATTAACACACACACACACACACACACACACACACACACACACACACACACACACACACACACACGCTGCTATGCACATGAAAAATACCAAACAATGTTGGACCAAAAACCTTGAAATTGTGACAAAATACATTATATTTGCTGGATAATCATCAGGAATGTGCATTTAACCAACAATAGATTGCATTTTGCAGTATAATAGAGTACATTTACTCAAGTATTGTACTTTTTTTACACACACAAAAATAGCAATTTCTTTTGACCAAATACCTTGAGATTGTGACAAAATTCATTACATTTTGCAAGCTGATATGCATATTTGCTAAATAATCATCAGTAATGCAGTGTAATAAAGTACATTTATTCAAGTATTGTACTTTTTGAAGTAGTTTATACTACTTTGGAAAGGCACACACACATGCTTTCATGGGTGATATGCAGAACGATATCGGACCAAATACCTCAAAATTCAATATATTGTGCACGCTGCAATGATTTTTTTGCTCAATAATCATCAGTACTGTGTAATAAAGTACATTTACTCAAGTATTGTGCTTTTTTAAGTACTTTATAATGTGGAAAATCAAAATAAATCTCATTTAATGCAGCCTTACAATTCAGATAAACGACATTTACTCTTATATTTATAATATATGAATATATCGCCCGGCCCTAACTCACGCTGATACCTTTGCGAACATGCAGATTAATGATCACCTGTTGCAGCTTTAGTTGGGGGTCTGGGGGAAACACTTGCTTTTAAAATCTTATTATTATTATTATTATCATCTGGTGTGATTGACCCGCTGACCTCTCACCTGTGAAGCAGACATTACAAAGGGGGAAGATTACAGAGGTTATGATTGATATTTATTTTGTTGAACAGGTTAATTTATATTTAAAGTAGAGAGGGGGGGGGGGCTTCGTGCTGGCCGTGGAGCTTCTGGTCTGAGAGCGTTTCATTATTAGTTAAAGGTGTATTTTAACGTGTCTGTGATCCTGAGAATAAATGATGTATATGATTCATTTTGGCTTTTCTCAATTTGTTTTGTATTTATTTATTGTTTTTATTTTCGCTGTAATTATTCTAGACTTTAACACGATATATGTGAAATTATATTTAGTTCTATTACATATTTATATTTCAATATAGGACACAGCCACACACACACACACACACACACACACACACACACACACACACACACACACACACACACACACACACACACACACACACACACACACACACACACGAGAAAGTCATGTGACAGGGAGTGAAGTCTGATAGCTGTAGTCAATCTTTACATAAGTATTTTTGCATTGAGATCAGCATTAGCTCAGTCAGTAAGGACTTCATTTAGGATCCAGAAGGTTGTTGGGTCAAGTCCCCTCCAGGTCACAGTGGACATAAACAAGTGGAATTGGGATTAATAAAGTACATCCTATAAATATTGTTAGAGGTTCACCAGAAAATAGAGACCTGCCACCTTAAATATACAATGATTGGGTAAATGGAGACATGAATTCCTATTTTCCCAACACATTGTTAAAGTAACTAGTTTGTGATCGTTTAAATAATCACTATTTGCAGAAAGGGACATTTTGTGCAGATCTGAATATTTCTTCCACCCTGCAGAACAAACGATGAACAGATCTATGAAGGTTTTTATGTCCTGCGTCATGGAAAGTAATGACAACTGGCCTCGTTATACCCCGACAGGCCACAAGGGGGCAGCACTGTTATGATCAGAGTTATTGTTTAAAGTCTGCAGGATACAAACCTCTCGAAGTGAGATGGAAGAAAGAGAAAACATGTTTTTGGAAAGAAATGTCAGATTTTCTTCAAAAATTAAGAGGTTTTTTGAGAGATAAAATATTTTAGAAAAATGATGTTCTGTTGCCATGTCATGTGTAAAAAAACGTTAGATTTTCATTAGAAATGTGGAGATTTTAGGGGATTTTTCATAAAATTAAGTAAACTTGGGAACATCAAGATTTAAGGTATTTTTGAGGAATTTAAATCGTTTTTAAAAACTGACCAATAGCAGTGGGATATGGCTATTTCCAGCTGCTGTTTAATAAAGTCTTCAGAGTTTGCCTGTTTAACTTTTCTTTGCAGCGTGTTTTCCTATAATAAAAGACAGAGATTTTAAGACGATAGACTTTTCAATACAAGAAGGTTAATATGTGATCAATATAAATATAAATATATAAATATAAATAAAGTTAGAAAGAAAAACACAACATAAAGAAATGTAAAAAACAACATTTAGGTCTTAAGTCTTTTTTTTGGATTTTAAGTGGCTTTCAATTTTAAGAATTTCCAGCTGCTGTTTAATAAAGTCTTCAGAGTTTGCCTGTTCTAACTGTTCTTGGTTGGTTTATTTCCATTAATAAAAGACAGAGATTGTAACCCCCCCCCCCCC